CTCCTCGCCGTTCTCATCCCCCCTCTCATCCTACCTCCTCCCGCGCCGTCCCACCACCCTCACCCCCCCCGCCTCGTTCTTCTCCCCCTCCCGCCCCCTCTGTCCCATCCTTCCGCACTCCCTTCCACGTACACAATATGAATACAATTATCCTGTCGCCCCCGAGTATGTTCTAAGAGTGTTAGCCCCACCTCCGCTTACTGTTCTTTCCCAACCATCATGTGGTGTTGGGTCGCGCCTCGCGTCTCCCCACCTCGCCTCTCCTTTCCTTGCCTCTGCCCTCCGCACGCCCCTGTTTCAGCACACGGCTCACAAGGTTCATAGCCCCATACCGAGCTCCACCGAAAACCCTGGTGGCCATGTCCACATGCGGCCGCCATTTCGGCACACCCGTAACACGTTTCGTGACCTCATGAAGAACTCCACCAAAAGCCCTAGTGGACATGTCCAGCGGACCTCCGCTAACTTCTGCCTACACCTTTTCTTTGAACATTGCGATTATGGCTCGTATTCCTATTACTCTGCTTCATCAGACTCGCTGATCTGCATACAGTGTTGCACCAATGTGTATGTTTCGTGCCCGAAAAAGTATCATCAGCATTCGTTGTATCACATTGGTGCGGTCATTTGTATGTTTTGCGACTATGGGTATTAGTTGTAGTATGGGCATTGTTCCGCAGTACGATTCGCACCACTTGGAATCATATTCATCGTAGTAGTAGGAGGAGGAGCAGGAGTAGTGGTAGTAGCGGTAGCAATCGTAATAATAATAGTCGTAGTAATAGTAATATTAGCAGTAGTAGGAGTAGTAGTAGTCGTAGTAGGAGTAGTAGTAGTAGTAGTAGTAGTAGTAGTAGTAATCGCAGTAGTACTAGTAGTAGTAGTAGTAGTAGTAGTAGTAGTAGTAGTAGTAGTAGTAGTAGTAGTAGTAGTAGTAGTAGTAGTAGTAGTAGTAGTAGTAGTAGTAGTAGTAGTAGTAGTAGTCGTATGAGTAGTAGTAGTCGTAGTAGGAGTAGCAGTAGTATAGTAGAAGTAATAGTAGTAGTAGTAGTAGTAGTAGTAGTAGGAGTAATAGTAGTAGTAGTAGAGCCATAGTAATAGTAGTAGTAGTAGTAGTAGTAGTAGTAGTAGTAGTAGTAGTAGTAGTAATAATACTAATAGTAGTAGTCGTGGTAGTGGTAGTGTAGTGGTAGTAGTAGTAGTAGTAGTAGTAGTAGTAGTAGTCGTAGTAGTAGTCGTAGTAGTAGTAGTAGTAGTAATTAGTAGTAGTAGTAATAGTAATAGTAGTAGCGTAGCAGTAGCAGTAGTAGTAGTAGTAGTAGTAGTAAAAGTAGTAGCAGTAGCAGTAGTAGTAGTAGTAGTAGTAGTAGTAGTAGTAGTAGTCGTAGTAGTAGTAGTAGGAGTAGTAGTAGTAGTAGGAGTAGTAGTAGTAGTAACCGTCGTAGTAGTCGTCGTCGCCGTCATCGTAGTAGTAGTAGTAGTAGTAGTAGTAGTAGTAGTAGTAGTAGAGTAAGAGTGAGAGTCAAGCTAGCCAGCTCGAGCGAGTCAAGCATGGCATGCCCAGTCCCACCCGCCCTCCCACAACATAAGAAGCAAAGCTGGCACAACTGGGGGCCGAAGTCACACCGGCCAGCCGGTTTGGTACAGCTGATGCGGCCGCGATGGCGGTTGCCGACGGGAACTGGCGAGCGCGTGTTGAATGCCGCGCACGCATTGCCAGACGAGTCGAGAATGGCCCGGTACACCGCAGGAAGCCAGAGGTGGCCGGAGGAAGCCCGACGGTCTGACAGGACACCCCAAAGCATTTTTGTGAAAAAGCATTGGGTTTTTGATGTTTTTATGTTGAAATGCTTGCAAACACACGGTGTTCGGTAGGATTCTGACATGAACGCGCGAGTGTGCTCTTTGTGGTATTTTTTGCACAGGATTCGCGGCCTGGGTGCATGACAGAGCATCGCGAGTGCACCGCGCGATGACGTGAAATCGCTGGATTTGACAGAATTCTTAAGATTCCTATGGTTTTCCTATGATTTCAGCAAGAGAGCCCGGGCGGGAAATTTGTACAATTTTTGTGAAAAAAAAGCATTGGGTTTTTGATGTTTTTATGTTGAAATGCTTGCAAACACACGGTGTTCGGTAGGATTCTGACATGAACGCGCGCGTGTGCTCTTTGCTGTATTTTTTGCAATGGATTACCGCCGTGGACGACAGGACGTCCATGTCGAGAGGAAAAAATAAGAAAAATGTTGATTTTCTATTGTTTTTTACAGGTTAGGATGGGACCACCCGGATGCGGCCCCTATCTGCCGGCCTGAGGGGGGAGTAGGAGTATATTCTAATAAGGAATAAGGATAAGAGTAAGATTAAGAGTAAGAGTCGGAGTAGTAGTCGTCTTAGTAGTAGTAGTAGTAGTAGTAGTAGTAGTAGTAGTAGTAGTAGTAGTAGTAGTAGTAGCAGTAATACAGTAGTGGTAGTGGTAGTAATAGTAGTAGGAGTGGTAGTAGTAATAATAATAATAGAAGTAGTAGTAGTAGTAGTAGTAGTAGTAGTAGTAGTAGTAGTAGTAGAGGTGGTAGTCGTAGTCGTAGTAGTAGTAGTAGTAGTAGTAGTAGCAGTAGCAGTAGTAGTAGTCGTACTAGTTGGTAGTAGTAGCAGTAGTAGAGGTCGCAGTAGTAGTAGTAGGTTGAATGATATTATGAGTATTAGTGATATTGTTATTACAAGTGTTGCTATCATTCGTAATGTTATGATTACTCGATCGGGGTCCCGCGGGCCGACGATCGGAAAACGGCACCAGAACTGATCGCCCCCTCCCTCCTGCTCGCCCCTTCTGCAACGGACACTTCGTCTAGTGATGCCAGAAGGCCCAAACAACAAACCGCTCGAAATCGAAACGGCAATCGTAACTCTGCTCCCCGCAATCCGCTTTCGAGCCAAAATCCGTCAAACGGCATCGTGCGATGCGGCAAATCTGGAGCGCTCAACTTGGGTATACATCAACTTCGTCGTCCTCCATTCCTTCCTCCCCCCCGCCTCCTCCCCCTCTCTTACCCGGAGTCTTCTCCTCCGCCTGCTCTTCCTCATCATCCTCTCTGTTCGGTTGGCCTTA